GGCATCTTTCAAAAGTACGCAACTTTCCTCGCAAAATAAATCAAGATACTACGGCCAAAAAGGAGAGGGGTAGTTCAAAAACTCACTAAGTCCTAGCATCCGTAATTAGTAACGTTTAGCATACACTTTATCGCCCTAGGCTGTTGCTTAGTCGCTATCGGCTATAAAACACTAAAAGGAATTGCGTTGCCGGCTATAGAAGCTATTGGAAATCTTACAGGCGGCTGTAGGTGTAGGTCTATGGTATTTTGGAACACAGATTCTACTGTCAATTTTTACCAGGGCAAATCTTACATCGAATACGTAGAAAATGTTTGAGGTCATATGTATTCCTCTTGATTTGGTTGATTACATTGGTTCTGATCCTTAAAAACCTTATGGAAAGCTGATAAAAGATGGACCAATCAGAGAACGGCACGGACATGGCAATTAATACTGTCCCCATATAGGTCCTGTACCTACTTGAGACTTGAGACCCCATGGGAGCCAATCAGAGACAGAGAAACGGGAACATAATAGAGTGCCTCTTCGGGGAGGAGACGGACACGTCAATATGTGGAGCTTTGCTTAGGGCCCAAAAATGCGTAAATTTGCTGCGGATTGTAACAAATGCAATAGTAAATCGCTCTGGCTAAATTAAATTCGTAGGTTGATTGCGCTTACCTACTCGTCCGTACTCTCTCTACATAAGTAGTTTAGCTCTAAGGAACCCTACCTGCCTCACTAATAACCTCGTTTCCCCGGCGTAAAAAGAGACCGCAGGAGCCGACACCAGCCCCCACTAGATGGCGCTGAACGCGAGTCCGCGGAGCCGCCGTCCAAAAGCACCGGGACGGAACCGTGCCAGGCCGAATTCAACGAAACCGAAAGTGAACGGTATTACGAATCGCGGTCGCGTCCGCCGTCGAGCAAAAAAAAAAAAAAAAAAAAAAATAGAGTAAAGGCGGCCTTTGGCTCGGCGCGCGGAGCTTTGAGGGGTTCGCAGAGCGCGGCGGCGGCGGCCTAGGGGGGGAAGGCGCGGTCGGTTTGCGAAGCCCTGGCAGAGAAAGGAAGCCGAGAACCAGTTTAAAAACACAGCGCAGCCTTGACTGCAAGGATTGAGTAAGCTCCGGCGAGTGCTGATTGTATGTGAGCAGCGAGCGAGCGCGGTCGGGCCCGGCTCGCCAAGGCACACGACCGCTAACTTTCTTCTTAGTCGAAGCATATCGAGAAAGAGGAGACCCAGGGCTCCGCTGCCACATCATGGCCACCGCCGGGCTTTCCCGGGTGCCCCAAGTCGGATTTTCTTCCATGTTCCGTCTCTGTGAGCTCATTCTTGAAATTGAGATGTTGCATCTGTGAGGGATTTGCGATTTGACTGTTGATTCTCATGTACAAGTTCGCGAAAAACACGATGGTGCCACTGGTTTTCTCTGAAATCAACTCCCAAGCTCCCAAGCTTTTAGAGTATGGACATGTCGAAAATTTTAAGGTTAGGTGATAGAGCTCTTGAACCCCAAAAGGGTAGGCAATCTATAAATTCAAATGGAGATGTTGCATGTGTGAGGAATTTGCGATTTGACCATTGATTCTTATATAAAAATTCGCGAGAAACACGGTGGTGCCACTGGTTTTCTCTGAAATCATCTCCCAAGCTCAAAAAAAGCTCTCAAGTTGAGGCCAAAATGGAGGGGATATCCCAGCAATCCTGAGAGTCTACCGCTACATCAAGACAAACTCTCCATGCGAAGAAAGGGAGCATTTACATTGACAGGATTGCCGTGATTTCAGTTTTAGAGTCCCCAAATAAGGTGGCAGCCCTGTCAATGTAATTGCTCCCTATCTTTGCATGGAGAGTTTTTCTTGATGTAGAGGTGGACTCTCAGGATAGCGTGGGATATCCCCCCCATTTCGGCCTCAACTTGAGAGCTTTTTTTGAGCTTGAGAGATGATTTCAGAGAAAACCCGTGGCACCATCGTGTTTCTCGCAAACTTTTAGATAGGAATCAATTGTCAAATCGTGAATCCCTCACACATGCAACATCTCCATTGGTGGGCTAAAATTCGGGCAATGGAGCTCTTGCATATATCAGAAATTTGCGATTTAAGTTTCCTGTGAAAAATTTTGCAAGGAACACAATGGTGCCTCTGGTTTTCTCTGAAATCAACTTAAAAGCTTAAGAAAAGCTCTCAAAGTTGGCAGAAATTTGGTAACACAGCAGCCAACGTGCGTTAAAAATCAGCATAAAGCTGAAAATCTCTATACAGCGGGGGAAAGCTCAAATGAGCACAATTTTCCCTCGAAGATAGATTTTCCCTCAAGATTTTTCCCTCCGTATTGACATTTTCAACTTTATGCTGATTTTTAACGCACGTTGGCTGCGTTACCAACTTTCTGTCTGAATGACTCGTGCGTCTACTGCAATCAGTTTGTCTCAAAGTTGAGGCCGCGATGGAGAGGATATTCCACGCTACCCTGAGAGTCCACCTCTATCTCTATGCAAAAATAGGGAGCAGATACATTAACGAGGTTGCCACTTTCTTTGAGGACTCCAAAACTGAAAACACGGCAACCCTGATAATATATTTTCTCCCTATTTTTGCATAGAGAGTTTGTCTTCATATAAAGGTGGATTCCCAGGGAGCGTGGGATATTCCCTCCATTACGCCCTCAACTTTGAGAGCTTTTTTGAGCTTTCGAGTTAATTTCCAGGAAAACCAGTGGCACCATCGTGAATCTCGTGATATTCTATATAAGCATAAGTATTCAATCGGATATCCCTCAAACATGCAAGAACTCCATTATCGGGGTCATTGTTGGGCGTGTGGCATGTGCGGAAAGCAGGTGATGGCGATTAAGAATGGAGGTAAGACCAAACCCACTCGCGAAAATTCACCTGAAGGGATGGTGGAGCGATAATTTTGGTTGAAATAGGTGGTCGTTATGGATCCAGGGGGTGATTGAAGGATGCCTCGTGAGTTTGCCGTCAGTTAGTCTTCTTCTTATTTCCTTCGTCCAATGCAACCACTCGCTTCCACCAATAGGATCACTCTATTTTCCTTTTGCCTTCTTTGTCTATCGCTTTGTCTATCAGTTTCAATAATCGGCTCGCTGGAGTTCGGACAAGAAACTTTGTAACAAAAGCGGAGCCTGCGTAAAGCAAGTCTTCATTTACCAGTAAAAACGTATGGTGATTGTCATTATATTCCTTCCTAAACAAATAATAATTTCTCGTAGCATCTATAGGAACTCCCATGGATATGACTTTTATTCCTTTCATCCCCGTACACTGCTTAAATTTATGAGTTCTCGGTCCACCCAGGGCCCCATCAGAGAACCCTCTGGAGGCAACATCAAATTCGGATTCCTTGGGGTCAATACTCATGATATCTCTTTACCGAATCTGTACGGCAATTTAGCGAACTTCCATTTTTTCTAAGGGGGGGCTCTGTCCCCCACCTTATGGGGTCTATATTCCAGATACGGATGGACGAATTTTGGATTTCTTAGGATAATCTCTGTGTAAAATTGTTCGTATTTTCTGATTCCGATAAAATGCTCTCAAAATGTTGACGTAAGCCCCGACTCATGAAGCGAGGACCACCCTTTTGCCCCTCAAGAGTTGCCCCCGGGGAGGGGGGAGGCTTTGGGACCATGAATGTCCGATTTCGTGGGGTCGATTCCCTATCCGCCCCCGCAGTCCTGAACTTCGTCAGACCTAAAATAACCGAGAAGGAAACCTGCTACGACAGGTTTGAATCACCCTGTATAAACCTGATCAGGAATCTAGTGACCATTTACGTTCTTTTTCATCGATGTTTTCTTCTCTTTACTTGACTCGAATAATTTTCTTCTCCCTCCTTTGTTATTTTTGAAAATATCCATGGTGACATGTATATTATAATCCGCACCACCCCTATCAGAAAAAATTGTTAGTGGCTACTGAATGCCGGATTACATAATATGATCCATATAGGAAATCTAGTAACCAGCACCATATTTTTGACAGAAAAATTTATGCAACTTTGAAAGAACTTTAATACTGGTCACTGAGTGTCTTGAGATTAATATTCACGAGTGCAATCAGTAATCTTGTAATCACTAACATTCTATTCTATCGGTATCTCTCGTTTTCTTCCTTTAGTTCAAGTAATAATTGGACCGCATTTAGCAGAAAGGCAGTTTTTCAGCTGCTCATTAGCTATTGCCAAGCACTGAGCAATTGAATTTTTTACAAGGGAACGTTCGTGCGAATACTTTTGAAAATTTTTTAGAATTTGCCTCCAACTATGCAGAAAATCCACTAAAATCAGCACAAAAATTCACAAAACCATTTTCATGTAGAAAATTAAAGTTGGCAATAATAGCTGATGTGGCTTGATTCCTTCTAGAGTACCTGTATAGCGAGAGTATAGACAGATGTGAAACTCCGAAAATTCATCAGGCCTTCACCGATGCCTCCGCGAATAAAGTTAGGGCCCAGAAATGCAGCCAACCTATGAATTTCAAATGTCCAGAGTGATTTACAAATACAGTTGTTACGAACCGTCGTTTATAAAGCATGTGATTGGCTTACTTTTTGCATAATTTTACTTATTTTTGCGAAAGAACGCTCATTTAAGTACATTCTTGGCCATCTTGGTTAGAATTGAAATCTGTAGGCTGGCAGTGAAATTTCGTGTGTTAGAAGTTGCTCAGAAGGGTGGCTGCACTTTTGGGCCCTAAGCTCTCCATCAAGTGATCTGCCCATACTCTCGCTATAATTCCTTCCTGCTTATCGCGGTCTATGTATAATAATTGGCCTCTCTCTCCTCTGCCATTTTTCTCAAAAAAACCAACGGTGGCGTTTACTTTGATCCACAGCGCCTCTGCACGCTGGAAAAAACCATGCTTTAAAAAAAAGCGGGATGCCAGATCAGACCTGCAGACTCGAAACGGTCCGAAGTGGCAGCGGTGTTCGGACGACTGGAAGCTCGCTCGGTGCCTCCGTCGCTGGATGATGGTAGTCGCCCGATGGCTGCAATTCGAAAGAGTCGGGTCGCTTCGTGAGTCTAATCTCCGGACCAGAGAATCACGATTGTTTTTTACGGATTGGTGCTGTTTTATTTTCGGATCCGCTCCGACTAAAGTTATCTTTCAAACACTCATTTCGGTTTTCGCCTCGAGTTCTGTTCGAAACTCGCCGCCGAAATCCCAAAGCTCAGCGGTGAATTGTGGTGTTTCTAATTTCATTTTTTATGGTTCTATTGTAGAGAATTTCTTGGAAAAAAGATTCTTTCTCTGGTGCGCGGTTGTGCTTGAATGTTTTTATCAGTGAAGTGTTGATATCGCGGCTTGTGTTCTAGCTTGCTCTGAGTTTGGAGTAAATTTTTGCATATCGTGGTTTGGATCTCAGTGAAAATCTTATTGGAGTACGTTCAGCTGTAGAGACTTTCTGAAGAATAAGAAATCAACGTGGTGAGTGTGATTTTACGACTGTAACACTATTGATCATCTGAATATTAGTGTCATTTATAGCGATCGTCAATTGTACCGATGAGGATTTCAGCGAAACTACGAAATTTGATGGAACTCGTTTTTATCATCTTGAGAAGTCAAATCTAAATATAGAAAGCAGAGGTTACGTGTCAAATTGAGGGCACACGTAACCTGAAATCCACGCTTTGTATGCTACGTATTCAAATGACGCTCTTCTTGTGAATTTTTGAGAGAAAAAAGTAAAATACATTGCTTGAAAATTTCATACGTGTATACTTTATCAAATATGGAGATAAAAACGTAATTTTTTACGGAATGGAAAATGATCCATTTCATTTCAATATAATGCGAAAAATTTGCATAATTTAAATTGAAATACGTGCGCATTTGCACTACTGGATCCTGGTTATTCAGAGACACGCTCCTTCACATAATATTGAAATATTGAGTTTGTCCCCTCTCGTTCATCATCCTGGCAACAATTTGAGATAGGAAAGTGTCAAGAATCAATATCGATCTAGACAATTTTCTCATAAGTTAATGGCACAATAAGATAACCGGATATTTTGAGCCCAAGCGCTCAGTTTTAGAGACTGTTTAGCTGAAGAGTAGACTAATGCTACTAAATTGAGGCTAAGATTAATTAGCCCAAATAAACAGTTTTGTTTCGGCAAATAATCTCTGGTGCCAGTATATATTAAGCCAATTTTAAGCGTAAATGCAGGAGCTCGATACCTTATGGTACCGCAATAAACATTTCTCCCTCTCTTCGTGTGCACAAGAGGCTAACTTTACAAGTTCGATGTTCTGCAGCTTAATACTCCTGGCGGTAAGGTTAGGAGAACTTACCTATCACCGAACTTAGCAGCGCTGCTCTCTAGAGGTTAAAAATTGTGGGTCATTTTTTGAAGGATTTATTCAGAATCAACCTAACTCCAATTTACGTGACCTAGCTGTCTCTCATTTTATTACTTTTTATCCAAAAATAACCACACAACATAACGTCTTGAAACTTTTCATTAGTTTCTCCAGGTTACTAAGAATACGCTCGCACACTATTTCAAGTCGATTTTTTGCTTAGTTCCCTGTTAAATGAAGTAATACGTGGGAAGAAATTAGGCAACGTCAGGTGTAGTTGAGCTTATTCTGGTTGAGACCCCTCCCCCCTTTTTCCACCAAATATTAGGATTTTAAAGGGAGGAAAAAACGTCCTTCAGGCGTTTGACCTTTTTCAGTCAATTTTGATTAAATTATAACCGCTCATGGCGATATTGTAAACTTCACCCTTCCTCAAGTATGTTTTACCCCAGAAGGATCACCATCCCTCCTCACCTAATGACACGTCGTTCGATGACAGTAGCGATTTTGGAAAGTGGCAACGCTGTTTTTCCTCCAGTTAAATCCTTTAAAAATCTCGATTGAGGTAAAACAAGCTGTCTTACTAAGAATCGATTGTTTTACATATGTTTTATTGGAGGAAAGCAGTGTTGCCAACTTACAAGAATCGCCACTGTTATAGGTGATTTTGGCAATCGAAAATGTCAAAGAATATTAACGGGTTGAGCACACCAAATCTGACCAAAAGGAAGTTTTTCACTTGAAAAATAAATCTCAGTTACCCGTTTTTCCCTAATTTGTTTTCCATGTTTTCTCGCGCATGATGTTTTCCGTGCATTATGTGGGAAACCCAGATCAGTAAAATATTCATCAATATTGAATATGTCGTAGGATATTTTAAGTGCACACTGCTCAATCTGTCGTATTTATGCTGAAAGAAACTATGTTACATGCAAATCCTATGCTCATGGTTCCTTTTAGCATAAATACGTCCGACAAAATGAGTGGGGAAACCAGAGACTCTGACTTTATGGAGAGTAGCCATGGATAGCTGGAAGAGGAATGAATCGGTTTGTTTCTCGGTCTTATATCAGGTTCTGCGTTCATCAAATTAAACCTCTCCATTACTCTCACTCTCACAAACTCATTCTTTTGAACAGTAGTCGCGTATCCGCAAGAAAGTGTTTGTACGGCACGCGCGCCGAATCATGTCACTGCATTGCATCGAGTTTGGTTTGCAGATAAAGAAGTTGGAGAATATACGAAAAGAATCTCCACTTTTTCTTCTTCTTTTTTCGTGGAAATTTTTCTAAATGTCATTAAAAATATATGTACACCTTTTATTGAGGAATAAAAAGAAGAAGAAGGGAAGAAGAAGTTGATACAAAAGAAGGAGAAGAAGAATTTAAAGAAGAGGAGGGGAGGAAGGAGAAGAAGAAGAAGAAAAGGAAAAAGAAAAAGAAACAAAGATAAAAGAAACAACGGACACGGAGAGAATAAGCCGCAGAAATGAATATAAAAAATAAAGAAAAAAGTCATGAAAATGAAATGAAGAGAACGAAGAAAAATGAGGAAGAGAGGAAAAGGAATAAGGAGAATGAAAAGCAGAAGAAGGAGAAGAAGAAGTATAAAAACTATATGATATTTTAATGATACATTTAAATACCATAAAATGTTGTTATTCAAACATTGTTTCGATCAATACTCGGTGTTCAATACTCTTTAAAGATAGTGTGGTTTCTTTCAGCATTGGAGCCAACGACAATTTCAGGAAAAGTGTACTATTCTAACAAATTCATTTCCTTAAATGTTTGAAATATGAAGTTTTAATATAGAAATGAACGGTTGCAACTAGAAAATTTCAATGACCAAAAATGTTAATCAGACCAATTCCTGTTGTAAGGCCAATTCCTGAAAAATGCGATTAAACGACAGATCTCTCCTACAGTGCTCAAAAAACCATTGCTGGCATTTGGACTTGAATAAATTTATCTTTGAATAAGGCTTGTTGGAAAATGAGACGGTAACCAAAATAAAGGCGTGGTGCAACAACCTTTAAGATTTATAAAATAATGAAGAAAATGATAATCAGTTGACTACTAAAGATAAAGGGAAGATTAAGTTCATTTTCCATTTTAAAATCATAATTTTTTTAATTGAGGGAAGTAATTTGGCGGCCTCTGTTGAGATACTTAACCTTCTACAAATGGTTTTGATCTTGAGACATAACGCTTTGAGCTAAGGCGTTGTCAACACATTTAGGGAGGAATTAACTTCTCAGTGTTGCTCGGTCGCACTCTTCCACCTTTCACACAATATTCCCCCTTTTTTGTCTACAGATCTAGTAAATTAAATTAAAATTGGCAAGTGATAAAGTGAATTGATTTCTGCTATGAGATGGAATGAGAAGAATTCAACAAAGATACCTATGATAATACTAAATGTCACGGTGCAAATTTCATAAAAAGTTCCCTTTAACAGGGTTTGCTGAGTGTATATATGAAAAAAATACTCTCGATTAAACTTTGTTACAAGTTACAATGACAAATCTTGAAATTTCACACCGGAATTTACAAATTTGATTGTATGTAAAAGAATCAATATTGATTGACTTCAGATGCGACAAAGATCCTCCCCAATAATAATCGATCATTTATATTAAACGTAAATGGAGGGGAACATGTTGCCGGCTTGTGAGTAATGCCGCCAACGAGAAAAGTACATTGAAAATTCAGACCCTAGCATATAAGTCCGCCGGAATGATCATTAATGTACATTCAATCGAAGGAGGGATAGAATTAAAAATTAGTAACAGTGTTAAAATCCACACAAGAGAAATCACCCAGCAAACAGTCAAAAGACTTTTAAAAGCTCATCAAATAAAGATCGAAAGTGATCAATACGGCGGCGGAGATTTGAAACTATCGGGCTCCCGTGTCAATACTAAATATTGCTTCTCTGCCACCTCTTACATAAACGACATGAATAGTTCAATATTGTCTGACTAGCATTCTGCCATCGACTTCTTTATTTCTCCATAACACTCGCATAACTTCACACTCTCCTCACGATTATGACACCTTCAATGTGCGCCACCGTCTGGTTTATGGCCTGTATCCGTGTCTCAGTCATAAGATAGTTTATGGGGGCAGATTTAGAACACTATAGAGACGAACAATCAACTGAATATAGTGTATCAAATTTACCAACCTGAATGCTCAAGTTAAAATTTAAATGTTCATCCGCAGAATTTAACTCAGATTTGCCTTTATTTTTTTACCATGTCTCAGGGTTGAAAAGGGAGGGGGAGAGTAGGTGAGAGAGATGAAGTAGAAATATAGTATAAATCATCCTCAAAAACAGTATTGCCAGTTCCTCTATGATTTATGTCTGCCTGCATAGTCATGAACTTGCCTTTGAATATAACTCTAATCTCGAGAATTTTGGGTAGCGTGTATCAATTGATCTTCAGGAATACACCACGCAAATATTCTTATCACTGGTGTTCACAGACTTCTAATGCTTCTGGGTCACGAGAATTAGGGAAGGGGAGAATATACCATGATGTAGCAACCTAAATTAAATATGAAAAAATTATAAATGGATGAATGCGAGTGTGCAGATTTTACATTGTCTTGGAGACTTTAACGAACGGGTAGAAAAGTAAGCAGTTTCCCAGCTTTGATAGTCCGCTTACCTTAACGAGCTTACATTATGTAACCATGTATATCTAGAGTCATTTTATCAAAACATATTTAGAACCAGCTTATCACATCAATTCTGTTCAGTTTCGGTCTATTATCAACTTCTTTGGACCTCCCTTTGTAATTGAGGTAAAACCAGGTAAAACGAGCTCATTGAAGGAAATTCAAGCAGCACGTCTTTAAGAGAATTCACAGCAACTTCTTGCAGTATTTTTAGGAGTTTTCATTGCTTTTCAAATATTTAGCTATTGTAACATATTATTTAAATCAGCGTTTGACTTTTAAACTCTAAAAATGTGTATTTTAGAGCAACAGTTTAAAAGACAAAAAAAGGGAATTGAGATTCCTCTAAATTTCTGTTGTTTTTTTACGTTTGGAAAATAGATAGATCCCCAAAATGGTGATTTTATATATATTTCCTACATAAATTGAGTGATG